ACACAAAACCCTTTCACATCTATGGTGAGCATCCGCCAAAAAGGCTTGAGAGTCGATACACCTGGTAGAGTAGGGGAATCCAGGTAGATGTCATGACGAGTTTTATGCGACTTTGAAACTCACAGCTGGGTATGGGTAGTCAAGAAAATCGAATTAGCAAAATTACAGATCTGACATGACTGCACAGTTTGCGGTAGATGAAGGTGCTAAGTATATCTTGATGCGCTGTACAAATGAAAAGCAGATCATGTATCCAGAAATGGTTTGTTGTCGACTCTAATTACACTTAATATATAACAAAGTGCTTCATCGCGCGTAATACAAAATACTTTGGCGCGAACGAGATGCGAAGCTATATCCTTCGCCGAATTTTCGGACTGTCGCTCGATCCAGGAAAAATTTGGTACACTGTATCAAACGACTGGTTTTGTAAATCAAGAGAGTTTATGAGGAGTGATTGAGGACATTGCAGAAGTATGCGTCCGCGATCTGGTCGATGGAAACGGAGGACAAGTCGACCTACCGTGGTTTAGTTCGTCGCCAAAGAAGGCCACTGTTATTGTTTCAGCCCTCTTCAGAATTATTAGAAGAGCATTACGACGAAAAAATCTCGTTGAATAGCTAGTGGTTGCTTCAGATCAATTTAGGTTGGCGAGGGAATTGTTAAATTCTCACCAGTTNAGTCTTTCATATATCCCGGCATACACTACAACCCCTCTTCCCCTAAGGAGAAGACTTAACATAACGAAACAACATGAACGGGTCAAAATGTCTCCAACACGAGCCGGATTAAAGTGTTCAGTAAACTAAATAAAATGTTCAATAAATGTTCAACAAAGTCTCACTCTTTCACCGACGGAGTTCGTACACTTCGTAATCTTTTAAGTACTCCGGTGGCCTCCTTTCCCTTACTGGTCTCCCTTGAGGTTCTATTCTCCTTCCAGTGTCATCTTCCTCGGAAGAGTCATCCTCAGCAACTTGTTCATCTGCGGTTGTATCCTCTCTCAAGTATTTCTTAACATTGGCCACGTTTCTCCTCATGTTTACTTCTTTGGGTGACGATATGATGACCTTGTTACCGTGCTTCTTGCTGATGGTATATGGGAGTGGGCCATAACTAGTCGAGAGTTTGTTCTCTTTCTTTTTTTTTAGGAGTACTAAATCACCAGGTTCTAGTTCGCTCTCTCGAGCTCTCCTTTTCCCATCAGCATAGTCGGTTCTCTCCTGCTTCACCTCTGCATCCTTGTCTCTCGCCTCACTGTCAGAGTACCTCGAGTTTCCCAGCTCAGGAATCTTTGATCTGATTTCCTTGTTGAACAGAAGTTTGGCCGGTGTGACGCTTGTACTGGTGTGAGGTGTAGTTCTATAGGCTATTAAGAACTTTCGCATCTCGGTCGAGATATTCTTTTTTTCAGCTTTAGCAATCTTAAGGGCTTTAAGCAAGCTTCTGTTCTGTCTTTCAACCTCCCCATTTGCCTGAGACCATAGGGGGGTCGAGGTGCGGTGCTCAAAATCATTTGTTTCCAGGAAACGCTCAAATTCATGGGACACAAACTGTGAACCGTTGTCAGTTTTCAACGACTGTGGTAACCCATAGGTACAGAGAATCTTATCGAAACTCTCAATGACTTTAGTGGATGTCATGGACGTCAGAATGTCCACTTCGAAATATCGGCTGTAATAATCAACTACGACCAGTACATATTCCCCCGACGGTACGGGTCCCATTAAGTCTGCGGCTAGGTCAATCCAGGGTTGACTTGGAAACTCTGTATGCCGTAAGGGCTCTGGTGGTGTAGGCAGTCCAACAAGTTGGCAGCCATGGCAGGTCTTACAGCAGTTTTCCACTTGTTTATCAATTCCAGCCCACTAAACCTTTGTACGAAGTCTCTGTTTGGTTTTTACCAGCCCCTGATGACCTTCATGTGTTAAGTCTAGTACTCTTTCACGCAGTCTTCGTGGAATAAGCAACCTCGTTCCCCTTATAACTAACTTTCCAAGAGAAGAGAGTTCATTTCTGACCTGTTTATACTGTGGCGGAGCTTTTTCCAAGTCTCCTGTTGAGATGCACATTTGTAGTTGTGAAATTTCTGGGTCGGTAGCTGATTCTCTCTCAATTTCTTTGATGGGTATTGCTACTGGTGCTGATGTTTCTGCCACAAAGCGAATAAATTCCTCCGCATCATCATAACCATTCAACTCTTCCTTATCAACAAGTCGTGAAAGAGAGTCAGCAATGTTCTGTTTACCTGGTACGTACTGTACCCGAAACCGGTATGACTGAAGGCGAAGTACCNCGATCCTTTGCAAAATGTCCTTCGAGTCCACACCGATAACAACGTCCTCCTCCACGTTTAGGCGAATCAAAATGTCCCCGCTCTAAGGAATTTACATTTCCGCTCTGTGAATCGCTTTCAATCGACCGTGCCTGACTTTCGGCAGCTTCCATGGATCTAGCAACATCTCTAGTCTCCTGAAGTGTGAGTTTACCACTGACAGCGAGTAGTTTCTTGCGAAGATCATGGGACCGACATTTGCCAATTAACTAATCGCGTATTTGTTCTTCCTTGGATGTTCCGAAGTCGCAATTCTCGCTAAGCTGGGACAATCTGGTCACAAACTGGTCTGTTGTCTCGGACTCTTCCTGTTTTGCTTGACGCAACTGATGTCGTTCAAAAGGGATGTTAACTTGTGGCAAAAAATGTGCGTCCAGTAGTCTCAGCTTTCGCATACTTCGTTTCTTCTTCTAGGGCTGGTCCAGAGTCACTCAGCGTAACAAAAATGTCCTGAACATCCTGTCCAACGCAATGCAAAAGTAAGGCTTGTTATAGTGCGTCTTTTGGTCTTTTGTGATACCCTTGGCCTCGAGAAAAAACTCAAAAGAACGTTTCCATCGTCTCCAACGAGGTCCCACGCTTGTCGGATGGCCTGTGCAATCGAAATGTTGTATGTTTCCAAATTCGATGTTCACGGCCATATTTGCTCTGCATATGTCTAAAAATTTCCCGTTTATCCTCGTCGCCAATTGTAGAGATTAATATGCGTATTAAACAACGGATTAAACCGGATTACACCGCGGTCCTTAACTCTCCGACTCCATACTCTCTTCTTCTCGTTCCTATCCTATAATAGTCTTTCATATATCCCGGCAGGCGTTACTGGTGCGGAGATTTCATTTTATCTGATCCCCATATAAGAATTGTATAACCTGAAGTTGTTAAAATTGAAGTAACCTTTCATGAGGAGACCTTTCCACCTTAAGTATATCTGTACATTTTTGATGCTGATAGCAACGACAGCCGTCATCAAAGCAGCTGTCTCTTTACTTAAAAAGTCAGTTAACTTTACTTTTAAAATTTTGCCACCGTAACTGTGCAAAATTCGTGCAGCCAATCGTCGACAGTTATCGGAAAAATTTTTTGATCTTATGTTAATGTTTTGCTTCAGTTCTAACAAGATGTTCCACGGAACGTTGGGTCGATGCTAATTGTAATTTCCCTAGTCACATTCGTAAAGCACAAAACCATGTCTGATTGTCCACCTGGTTGCTTTGTGAACTTTAAGATGTTCCAATTTTATTATTTACCGCTATTTCTCCATACTCCAGCAAGAACTTTCAGTTTTAATTTGGGAAGACCCTGGAACAATTTTTTACCCGCCTAAAGAATAAGAACCACTGGACTGATCAAGGAGGACAGGAGGCTTAAAGGAAGGAATTGCGAAAATCGAAGAAGGATTACCACTGTAAGAACTCTCAGAGCGATATGAGACGACATTAATTCAGAGTTGCCGCTATCGATTGGAATTAAGGAAACCTTAGAGAAAGAGTTTAAACGAATGTAAAGTGGAGAGGGTTTGCCGGAGAGACTTTTTGGATTGAAGCCTTCTGGGTTTTATTTTGCCCCCAGTCCGGCACAGACCATGAGAAGGATCTTTTAGTTTACAGCTTGGAGTCCACCCTGGATGTATTTTATTTAATTTACATAGGTCTGTTTTCTTCAAGATTGAGAGTAATCAGTTCCCCTTTAACAGATTCTCATTCCTCTATGATGATAATTGACGCCATATCACGGGCATTGGTGCCTGCCCATGGAATTCATATCATGGTGATTAGATTTTCCCAAACTTACCCACTGACTTTCTTTGAAGTTCTAACCCTCAGAATTACCCTTCATTCCTAGATCATTATTTGCGGTGTAATGGCAGGCTTATCTGTCATCTCGTGGCTACCAGAGATGTTTTTCGTAGTGTCGAATTGGTAAGTGCTTTACTATTTTATTCTACTTCAGCAATTCCCGGCATATTTGAAGTGACACAGCGATTTTAGTTACATTGCTTATATTGCCTGGCAAAATGATAATCAGTAGATTTTCTGCGTTTTGGTGAAACTGTAAAGTTGGTAAGGTAGAGTGTGACTTGGCTTCGGGAAAGGAGCCTTGGGTTTTGCACTTTGCACAGTTTCTCTTGATATAGTGGTTTGCTTTTTAACTTCTAAAAGATTGGAAAATCTCAAATTTCAATATTTTCTAGACACGAAGTTTTCAACTTTTGCCGTCCTGATTGTGTACATATTCCATAGCTGTAGCACTCTGTCTCAAGTACTACCTCACAGCATTCTTTAAGAGACAGTTTGTGGTTTTGCGCTCCATATTTTGAGGAACATTTAGTCTCCGCCCAAGAGTTTCAAGTGTGTTATCCTATAGTGCATATCTCCCAGTGATACAGGAGAGAGAAGGACAGCGTATTCACATCCTTATGCTCCATTTGAACATCCAGACAGGAATGGACTGACAGTCAGGTGGAAAGTTCAGCATAAAGCCGAGTTGACTCGATTTACCTTAATCTGACACGTTTGCACAAAGATCATTATTTACTATCGCATGCAGGTTATTACTACATTAGATGCAAAAGTAGAAAACGTTTCATTTAAGTACATGATTTAAAAGCCAGTTACTTAATGGCGCTTGGATACAAAAAAAGATGCAATTGTGTAGTCCTTGTCATAGTAATTGTTGATTGTTTATTGCCAGATTTTTTCCCCCAAATTTACAAAGTCTTAACTTATACACATGATGAGTTAGCGCCGAGAAACCCATCAACTTGAGGCTTTAAATTGAAGGGTTCCCTCTATCAAACAAAACACATTACAATAAAATCGCAGAGCTTACTTATTCATATTGTTTTCACTACCAAAGGTATTGTTATTCTACTGTTCAAGGAATAGATGCTACCGCTAATCGTTTTCTTTCATATCTGTCATGACACTTTCCCTTGTAAAGGCTAAGAATATTGAAAAAAATGGTCACTGATCGATCTTACATGTGCTAGTTAGTCACACGTTTAACTGTAAAATCAGCTAGGCGATAATTTTTTTCCCTTGATGTTTTACTAATGAATCAAACTGCGGCAGTAGACCAGATGATGTATAAGCCGTCATGACTTTCTGTCGGTCTCCCTTATCAATTCATATTCTCTAATTTTTGTCAATTCTTATCTAAAAATAAGAGGTGGATGTTACTTGATGAAGCTTTTTCTTAAGAAAACGACTGCTTTGTAATACGGAGAGGGTGAGCTCTCGTATTCCACCAAAGAATAGAACTAGAATTTAAACTCCACTAAATTTACCGTTGAAGCCTGAGAGCTGAAGTATCGCGGCTATTGCATTTATAAATATTGATTTGGTGACTACTAACTCCTTCTGACGATAATCCAGTTTTTTTTGGAGGGATAGTAAAATTCGGATACGCGAGTAGCTATTGCAAAGTGTTTCTCAGAAGTGATAGCAGTTTGCGAAGACTAGCAGATTTCTTGATTGAAAATATGCCAAAGGTCTGCAAACTACTACTAATCCTAATCGTCATAAAAGCAAGCATAACAACAACACATCCTAAAGCAATCTATACATCTGCGCAGCCTAGTTGTGGGTAATAGTGTATAGTCGATTCCACCGTTGCCTGTAGAGAAAAACTGCACCGAACTGTGTTCAATAAACTGTTTTGCCCTCAGATCCGATGTATGAGTTTCAGAAGGCTTCCATTGATCCTTTCGCTTTACAATGTGCCACTTTCTGTATGAAATCTCGCCATGGAGCAAACGCGTCTCCAGGAGTACAGTGCCTGCTGGATAATGACACACAGCTGCAATAATAATTTACAAAGACACGTTAATAACAACTGACGATTCAACAAGACAATATTCCAAATTCGATATGTTCCAACTAGGGTCGGAAAAACTCAGCAAGCTCATCAAATGTAGTTATAACACAACCAAAGTAAAGCGCGCGCTCTGATTGGTCAATTCAGCGTCTACCATCTGCCCATGGGTGTACGCTGCTGACGTGAGCAAATGCAAAGACTAGTTTTCCGCGCGCGCTTGTTTTTTCTGCTCGCGTAAGATTTGTTCATTAAAAGAAAACTCTTTTGCTACAATATAGCAATGTTATTTTATAAAGAAAATGGTAAACGCCACAATATACACCATTGAGTTAAGGATCCATTGGGGAGATTGGCCAAGTACTCAAGAAGCTAGAGTCGCTCTCGGCTATCGCCTCGCGCAACTCTGACGTTTCTTTCGTGCTTGGCAACCTCCCGCGTGCATCCTAACTCAGAAGTGTATGTTGTGGTGTTTACCATTTGTTAAGTGTAATGGCGAGTATGGTTTGCATGATTTCTTCCGCTTTCTTTTGCTCTTGTTTACTTTTTGTTTGATCATTTTTTATTTTCATTTTTCTTATTTCTGTGCCACACCTAGATCTCACAGAGAACTAATTATTTGCACGTGACATCAAGCTTAAAAATAGTTCCACTCTCAACCAGAACATGGCGATTACCTCCGTAATTGATTTGTCCTTGAGAACTTCTCAATTTATTAGTCTCTGTCCTACCTGTCTTGTCTCTATTTCCTTCATATTGAGGTCTCTCAACTACACCTTTGATCTGCAAAAAAAAAAAGATGTTGTCAGTCAACTAATTTACCTCATTTTCTCACATCATTTCCCCCGATACGTAAGCATAAAAGTAGAAAATTTATGAAGCTCACTCAACTAAGTTTGTGATTCAAGGACCCCAAAGCCCTGACAGCCTTATGTCGACGTAATGTTGCAAATTCAAAAAATATGGTTCTTACTCTCTCTACATAATCTCCTGATATCCCTTCCGACCTATCGGGCGAAGCTTCATTGAATAGTCTATTACCTTTTGAACTATTGCTATCTTTTCCAAAACTTGTTCAGTGCCTGCAATCTCCAATTATTCTTTTTATCACCAGAACACGCATATGATGCCGAAGCAAAAACCTTTTCTTCAAATCTTCAACTTACCCTGATATTCAGATCGTTTAGCACTAGTACTAGTTCTGGGTCTAGTTTCAAGATATTACTTTTACGGATGGGCTGAGCCTAGTATTCTCCTACCTCGCTGTTCATGGGTTCTTCTTGCTCTTTATTTTCATTTCTCAGACGCGTTTTCTTGTCATGTTCACACGTTGCCTAAAGTATGTTCAAGGATGAATACGTAGTTCCTATGTATATAGAACATCTCTCTGGCCTTATCTACAATATATTTCTGAGGCACACCTTGGTAAAAGTTGGCCTATTCATTGAAATGGTGATAAATATCCAACAATTTCATCGACACTGAGGTGAATAGTTGTTTTGATAGAAACCACAAAGAAACCAAAGATTTAGTCTGAATCTATTAATGCACCGCAAAATGGGTGGAATTTGAACTTGCTAATCCCTCCGGACTAGCCGATCCACACGTACAAAAAGCACCATTCATCTGGGTTTTATGTACTATAACAACCACGTAACAAGGAGACTTTAGCTATCACTATCGTTAGAGTAGTAATTCCTAAGTCTATGTAGCAGTCTTTTTATGTAAGAACAATTCTTTGTTTTGACGATCATGTCAGCTACCTCGTTTTGACACGAATGAACATTTCCGAACGAGATTCGGATTATGTTGACCAATTTTCACCGACCAAACACAAAGATCACAACATCTTAACAAATCTCATGGGTTTTAAGTGCCTAGAATTATCCCATTACGAAATGTAGGATTTTTCCTGACCTATTATTAATGAACTTCGCTTAATTAAGTCATACCCCGTGGTAGTTGTCTGGGTTTTGTTTGGGTGGGTATTCAAACTTTATTCCGTTCTTGCTTGGATCAAAGTAATGCAACAATGCTTCCTCGTGGATTTCTCTATGCCTCTTGTTCCAAGAAAAAATGAAGCTTTTTCTTCCATCGAGATACTCATCCTCAAACTGCGACGCCACTTTCCTTCGTGCCCAGCGTGAGATAACAACCCTCTCTTCTTCGTCTTCACTTGCGTAATTATCGTCTCCGCCAATGACTATCAACACCTGGTTGTCTGATAAAAAAATCATTGACAAGAATTTTATACAACAGAAAATGTGCCATGTTTCAGTTTACAATTACACAAACATGGACGTTTTTTTTTTAACTGAAACTATTAGTCTTGCAAATGAAAAATATTGTATAAATTGCTGATTGAAAAAAAGAAATTGTACATGAAACTATTCAGTCACTGACAAATGAAAGGCGTGTGTCGATTGTTTCTGATTACGATAAAACTTTCAGCCTCATCTGCTTCTTTCAAGCAACGACGAGCGAAAGCTTTATAGAGAAAGGCTGCTGACTTTTTGAAAGCTAAAGATATATTTTTTTTATCTATTTGACTCGTTTCAATTCTGTTCGCTGTTCTCCTTAGCTGCTTAACTTTGTACGGTGTGATATCGCGTTGTTGCCGCTGCCAAGATATATATCTGGACTCACGGCTGCAATAATAATATACAAAGAC